TATGCAAAGCTTCCCACACAGCGACGTAGATATGTGGGGGCGTGTTAGAACGAGCCATTTTAGGTAGGCGTGGTTAACTCTTAACTTTTATAAAGAATATCTCTTTGGATTTGAGACTTTAGTCTTTGCAACTTTACAGATCTTCTTTATGCACCAAGAGCTTGTAACACTCCAAAGAGAAAGGAACAATTGAAATCGCATCATATGACCCCTTTAAATATAAACTCTAAAGGAAACGTATTGTCCAACACACTGAAAAGTGAGTCATTTATTATTCTGAGTTCACTGCGCATGTGTTGATGAGCATCATAATTTCAGATTGATTGACTCGTAATAACCCATATCACACCATAGTGAAATGCCGTCGCTGTTTTTGATTGGTGCTCATTTCAAAATTCCCCCCTTTAGACACAAAGACCACGTATAAGATTTCAGCTCCTGGTAGATGCATTTACCTCGGACTTGACCACCACAGTGAACAACTGTGTGTGTGAGGTTTGCTCTCTCTGTCAGAAGTCATTTTTGTCCTAAGCGTGTATCCGTACGCGGAGCCGGTGAGTAGATGGCGATACATTATTACGCTTTTCTCTGTATTTGTTACATTTGTCTCAGGCTCGTAATACTTACAATCAGTATGTCTTCACATCGTGAATTAGGTCAGGCTTATTAGGTCAACTGAATCAACTCTCCTTGTGTTAGTCAAATACAATTTATATTTTTCCATGTATCGAATTGCCATTTATAGGCCTCTTCTAAACAGAACTCGATTCTCTGTGTGGTAGGCCTATTGTTAAGTTCGCACGATCAAATAAAATGCATTTGTCTGTGTTCCATTCTCCTCAGTCACTCGTTTAAATGCCGTGTCCTACTTTTGCAGCACAATTACACACGCACCCAACGCAAACACGCTCCGCAGTGTTCGTATCATAGAAATTTACGTTAGTTTGGTTATTTTATATTTTCGCACCATATGTTTGTATTGCCATTTCATGCTTGAACCAGCTAACAGTCTGACTCCTGTCTGTCATTTGTGTTGCTGCCATCAGCCAATATTACGTAATATAGTTGACACCATATTGATGACGTAACCGCTCTCCTTGAAATCAGAAGTCAAGTTTTACTTTGCAGTTTTCTGTTTGTTTGTCTTGCAATATACTTGCATTTGTTATTTCAGCTATGATATTGATATTATTGATATATTTAAAATTACTTAAGTTACTATTATTTTATTTATGAATCAATGACGTGACGCAATTTATTGTTCAGATTTTTTTTTTTAAAGTTACCAAAAAAAGACATTAAAATGCATAAAAATTGTATAGCCTAGTTGTTTCCCCCCCTATTTCAGAATCTATTTGCGATGTAGCTGCCTCTGGAGGGTTTTAATTTGAAAAAGAAAAGCCCAGCAATCACAGAACGGGTCCCCTTTTGGTCTCTTTTTTTTTTTTTTTTTTTTAATAATAAACACTATCCAGAGAGGCTAATTTTACGGGGGTTTTTCGAGTCTGAACATGAAGTTGATGGATTCTAAACTAGAGATCGACCAATATATATCGATTTACCAATAACTAACCTTCCCAGTACGTTGCAGGGATGTTTTTGTGACAACTAAAAAGGAACCTATACGGAATGTTCCCTAAAGGTTATTCTTATAACCAGCAACGAATGTTACCAGAACGTTCTGGGAGCCAAAAATTGTTAGCTGGGAGGTTCAAAAAAGCCTGAAATTCTTCTGAAATTCTAGGCATATTTGTTTTTAAGTAATTCTTTAAATCATTTGAAATATAGTAAAATATAGAAAAATGGTTTAATGTTATATTTGCAGTCCATTGGTCTTTGGCGTGGAATCCCTCATGTTCTCATCATGAATGTTGTTGAGCCGTATGAACCCATCCAGTACCACTGGTTCTTCAACCAGCAGGTGGACTCCAAAGACTCCTGGCAACCCTTCAGCAGAGAAGACTCACAGCGGCTGGAGGATGCTTACAGTCGAGGTCCTCCACTGACTTCTTCTTAACAAAACCTTAAAACCATTGGTTGCTATTGCTGAAAGTATAGTTTATTAGATCATGGCACATGTTTGAATGTTTAACCATTATATCTGATTTGTCTGCAGTGGGGAAATGTGAAAAGGATGAAGTGGTAGTGGCTACAGATGGAAGGAGGTATGACGTCAGGCTACGTGAAAGGAAACGTTACTCCGTGTATTGGGAACAGAAGCCCGCCAAGGTCAGACGCTGCTCCTGGTTCCACAAAGGCAGCAAAGACATGAACTACACTCCCTACAGTGAAGAACTCAGTGATCTCCTAGAGGTGAGACACAGATTTTCTAGAACAAATCGAAATTTTCCAGTTTTTAATGCTTAATCGTTTTTCTTTATTCAAAAACAGGATGCCTATATGATTGCAATGACCCTGGACGAATGGAAGACGAATTTGGAGCTCCCAACAGGGGAAACTGTGATCCTTCACAATCCCAAGGTATTGTCTGAATGTAAAACTAATGGTAAACAGACAATTCTCTGTTCACAATTTACGTTTGGTCTTTCTCGTTGCATTACCTCAGCTCATGACGCA